CCCCAAAACCCCAAAACCCCAAAACCCCAAAACCCCTTTCAATAAATTATGAATTGTATTTAAAATAATTTATTTTCTTATGTATGGAGGAGAAAACTCCCAAGCAGATTTTGCTACAGGAGAGCATCAGCGTCAGAAACCAATCATGAGTAATCCTTCTGAGCTAGACTGGTTCACCTTCGAAACCAAGATTCGTAAAGTTGTCACTGACCTGATGGAGCCCAGCATTAAAAGGTAGTCTCTGCTAACAGTTTTAGGTCGATTGAAGAAAAATAGCTTACTTGTTGAAGTAAAGAAAGACAATACTAAGCTGGAAAAGCGTATCAAGAAACTCGAAAGCATCCTCTTTGAAAACAAGAAGAAAGCAGTCATCTTCAAAGAGTTCTTCGAAACCATTTCCCATGTTGAAGCTGAACAGAAGAAACTTGAACTTGAGTTTACTCAAAAGTTCGCTGCCGTTAATGAGAGCATTGATCACTCAGACTCAAAAATAGAGGACTTCCGCATGGAGTTGCAAAAGTATGAGAAGCAGTTTGCGCATTTGAGGGAGGACCAGTCCAATGTGAGGGAGGAACTGGTCAGCTACAAGGATACAGTCGTCAAGAAGATTAATGATATCAACGAGAACTTTGTTCAAGAGACTACTAAACTTCGTCTACTTTGATCTTCTAATGCTCAATATTCCAAGGATAACAAGCAAGATATTAAAGAGCATGCTAGTAAAATTAAGGAGTTGGACTACCTTACTACTGAGCATACCCACAAAATCTATGATATCAATGATTTAGCCAGGAATAACCTCAATGAGAAGCTTGATATTACTAAATTTAATACAGTTCATGATGAGATTGAGAAGAAGATTGCGTAAGTTTTACATCTAAAGATGATAAAAATTCATCAAAAATGGCTTCTGAGTGGCCCTTTCTTGTCACACCCCTAGCTAGAAGCTTTGGGATCCATTGATTTGTGCGATTTCTAACTCAATTTATAGGTATAACACAAAATGCATCAAGGATGTAGACAATAATCTCAAAGAGACTGATAATTTTGTGGAGAAGTACCTTCCATTCAAACTGTCTAACCTGATAAATGATATTTTGAAACCAATTACTGATGAGAAGGGACCTTTCGCAGGTCTAATTCCGAACGAAACTCAGCTGAAGAGTAAAATCCTGTTCAACATTCTAAATGATGATGGAGAGCCAACACTTGATAAAGAAGGCAAAGAGGTTAAAAAGCAGAACAAAGCCTTGGTTAAAGAACCTAGCAGAGCTGATAGATCCCCTGGAAGGGGATCTACTAGTTCTATCTCTAAGGCACAAAGTTTCTCCTACCAAGGTAGTGAGCTAAAGTTGTCACCGAAGAAGGTGGAAGAAGAGATCAGTAGTTCTGAATCAGATATAATTCAGGAAGATAGTTCATATTCATCCCAAAGGCCTGAATCAGCGAAGAAACCCATGGCTGAAGTTAATAAGGATACGATCACCATCTCTGATGGTGCTTCTATACAGGGCAAGATTAGAACTCTAGTAGAGCATTCTACATTCCGAGCAGCTGCTTTTGAGAATTTTCAGGAGACAGATGAAGATCAGCGCTTCTTCTCCCAGAGCGAGAAGATGCTGAAGGTAAAACTTACTGCTAAATTATAGATCAAATACTATATTGACCGGAGGATGATGGCAGTCAATGAGAATGTTCTTGACAGTCAACTCGACATTGTCAAGAAGAAGATGAATGAATATGAAGAAACTCTGTTCAATAAGGTCAACGATAAAATCAAGCTAATGAATTTTGATTTTGAAACAAGCAGGAAGGAAACCATGGTAAGCCTCTGGCCTTATTCTTTAGAACTACACAGGAGACTTGCATAACGAGCTTGAGCTTGAAATCCAACGTCGCAAGAAGTTCTTGGAAGAGATTACAATGGGCTTTAGAGAAGTTAAGGAAAGCTCAGAGAATTCTGCTCAGGAGATCAAGTCTATTTTCCATATTTTGACAGGTGTCTCTGACACTCTTGTCCTAATCCTTGAGAACGCATCTCTGGGTGTGAAAATAAATGATTGTAGAGAGCAACTTAGAGTAGAAATGATGAAGAATATCAACTCAGATTCCCCTGAAAAGACATCTGACTCTAGATGCAATAGGAATATTGCTAAAATTGGGACAAGAATGATAAGGACGCCTTCAACTAACTATAGGATCCACTCGAAGCGTTTGAAGACCAAAGAGAGGAAGATATTCCTTGACAACCTGACCCCAAGCAATAAAACCAAGGCTGAATCTGCAGTTAAGGGAGATTTAGATGACCTGAGCACTTCGATGATCAACAAGACCATTCTCTACAAGGGTGATAAATTCGAGATTGAATCTCTGTGCAACTTCAGGAGCAAAATAATTGAGACTCTTGAGAAGACCAATTTCCCTTGGAAAAGTCTTGTGAAGAAGTCTATTAAAGCAATTGATAGTTTCAGAAAGAAGCAACCTAAAGCTTTACTGCAGGTAAAAGAGGCTACAGGTAAGTGTATATCCTCATTTGTAGAAATTCCCTTAGGTCCAACTGAGCCAACAAGGTTTAATCCAGAGACAGAGTCAGGAGGCATGGTCTCACCTGGGAGAGACAATGTATATGAGGACCACCATCATTTCACTGAAGTTGAGCCGAATAGAAAGTTAAGCACACCTTTGTTCACAAAGAAGACTCCCTATGTGCAGAAGATCAGACCAGCTACAGGATTAGTATAACGAAATTTCAGTTTTTAGACTTGAAAAAGGGGTTTTGGGGTTTTGGGGTTTTGGGG